CAAGATACAGGCATAATTAACCTCCTTGTGACAATTAGAAAAAATGAAATTGGAGGTTAGACCCATCCTAAGAAACAGTTCACTGTCAGCCTGCAGCTATTTCAATCTACTATATTTGGTACTATGTGACAACTCTGTCTCTCTCAAATATATAAAGGGAGGGAGAGAAAATCGACTCAAACAGTACTTCCTGTATTACAGCTACCTTCCTGAAATATTTAAAGCATATAGTAGGCACTCAAACTCTTTTCAATTAATAAAGGATATAGAAGGTAAGCAATAACCAGCAGCTCATACATGTCCCTTGGACAGCAAGATCAAACCAGTCAATCCTAAAGGAAATCAATCCTGAATATTCATTGAAAGGACTGATGCTGAAGCTCCAATACTTTGGCCACCTGATGCGAAGAGCCAACTCATTGGGAAAGATTCTGATGCTGGGAAAGACTGAGGGCAGGAGGAGAAGGAGGTGACAGAGGATGAGATGGCATCACTGACTCAATGGACACGAGTTTGAGCAAACGCCGGGAGATGGTGAAGGACAGGGAAACCTGGCGTGCTGCAGTCCATGGGGTCGCAAAGAGTTGGACACGACTGAGTGACTGAACAACAACAACATACATATAAAATATTCTGAAATGAAAAAAGCACCCTAAATTTTTCAACCAAAGGCAGCAAAGTGAACTGAAGATGATCTACACTACTGACACATTTTTCTTTTTCAATATTTATTTTTATTTTGGCTGCACCAGGTTGCAGCACACGGCATCTTTAGCTATGGCATGTGAGCTCTTAGCTGCAGTATGTGGGATCTAGTTCCCTGACCAGGGGTCAAACCTGGGTCCCCAGCATTGGGAGTGTGGAGTCTTAGCCATTGGACCACCAGGGAAGAACCGGACTTTTCAAATATATACACAAATAAGATTCTTAAGATGATCATCCACAGTTATAGGTATGACTGGAAAAATCTGTGTATAACAAATGGTCCCTTCCACACTGGATACATTTCATACTCTAAAACAGAAACTGCTATTTTCTTCATCAACTAACGCTCCTACAAGATTTTCAAAAGTACTTTTATTGCTAACTTGAACTCTATTTTAAGGTGCTTGCTAGATGTCTTGATACATATATATAATTAGACAGAAGCTAAGAGAGAGCCATAAAAACTGGACAAATCATTTCCTGTGCAAGTGTCCTGCAAACTGGACAGAAAAAGTCAGTAGAGAAAACCACAGCCCTCAAACATAAGGTCAAGTACTACCTTCAGGGCTTCCCTGGATGCTCAGGGAAGGTAAAAAATCCACCTGCCAATGCAGGAAATACGGTTCTATCCCTGGTCAGGGACAATCCCATATGCCTTGGAGCAACAAAGCCCGTCAGCCACAACTACTGAGCCTGTGGTCTTGAGCTCAGGAGCCACAACTACTGAGCCCAGGTGCTACATCTACTGAAGTTCACATGCCTAGAGTCTGTTCCGCAACAAAAGCCCCAACGAGAAGCCCCAACACTGCAACTAGAGAGTAGCCCCTGATCCGTGCAACCAGAGAAAAGCCCATGCAGCAACGAAGACCCTGCACTGCCAAAAATAAATAAAATTATATATAAAAAAGTAACCAAACTGCCACAAAAACTTAAACATAGGATAATCGTATGAACAGATATTGAACAGGTATTTGTACACTAATGTTCACAGCAGCATTACTCACAATAGCCAAAAGGTGGAATCAACCTGTGTCCAGTTATAGATGAATGAATAAATGAAATGTGGTATATGCATAATATGATGGAATATTACTCAGTTCTAAAAAGGAGTGGACTTCTGACAAGGATAAAACACTGATGAACCTTGAAGACAATGTGCTAAGTGAAATAAGCCAGACACAAATGGACAAATACTATATACTTCCACTTATGTGCGGTACCTAGAATAATCATATTCCCAGAGACAGAAAAGTGCAATAGTGATTGCCAGGAGCTGGGGAAAAAGAAGAATGAGGAGTCATTCTTTAACAGGAATTTTGGTTTGGGATAATAAGAATGTTCTGGAGTTGGATGGTGGTGATGGTTTCACAGCAGTATGAATGGATTTAATGCCACTGAACTGTACACTTGAAAAAGTGGTTTAAATGATGTTACGTATTTACCACAATTTTTTTAAAGTAACCAAGCAAGAATGATGATCAAATCTTTGAGGCAAAAACATCAAGAAAAGTGGTAAGAGTCTGCAACAGGCATGCTTCCCTGTCATCCTCCGAGCCTAGATGACCTGCCTGAAAGTCAAGACCTCAGAAGAGGAGGGATGGACATGGCATTTTCATACACTACAGATTTATATATCGGTATCATATCACTGGCATATGATAGGAAGATATATTAGAAGGTGAACTACATTCTATAGGACATTTGTTAAATAATGAATGGGCTCCCCTTCCCAATATTTAAATCAGAAAAATATAAGCTTTACCTTCCAGTCTCCAATGTAAGCAGCAAGACAATCAGTTTTACTTCTAACAAAGCAGCATAGTGGATCCTAAAGACTGACTTTAATTTTCCAGTTTTAATATGGTGCCTCTACAATGGAAACTGCAAGCAGCAATATAATAGTAAAAATATAAACTTCTTTCACCATCATTACAAAGTTACTTAACCTTTTCCAAGCCTCATTTAAAAGATGAGGATAATGCTTACCTTATAGGATTATTTGAAGATCTAATAAAGTAACATATATAAAACACACTGAGTTCAGTCAGTCCCTAGAATACCTAACTGCTCAACAAATAAAAATTTCCTCATCTCCTGCAATTCACTAGTATCTGTAGCCTTTCCTGCTCCTGATCAGCCTCCACAGGCTATGCTGATGTTTCGGCCATTAACCTCTGGCTCCTCCCTCAGGCCCCAGCTGTGTCTCTCGGTTCTAGTAGTTTTACTCCTGGTTTCTAAGAGGATCCTGTCTATATTTAGAGATAATGCCAGTACCAACTGTGGACTCAACAGGTGCTTGGAGGGCACTTGAGCATTCAGCAGTTTTCAATTGTTTTCCAGAGTTAATTGGCTTTGGCTCCACAACTGGCTGTCTTGACTTCCACAAGGAGGAGTGCCACGTATGCACAGTACTTCAGCAGTACACTAGACTAAACAGAAAATTAAGTGTGCTCACAGGACAAATCCTTAGCAAGAGGACATTTTTGCCTATTATCTGGATCCCAGAAGATTTGTTAAATCACAGGGACAATAAACCTTCAATAAACTCTACAGATGTAGCTCATCAACTCAATCTTTGTCTAGATCACTGTACCAGACCCAGGTTTCAACCAATTCATGCTGTTTATACAACCAGGATCAGAAGGAAAAAGCAGGTAGACAACATGGAACACTTAAAGAAGTGTCCAAACAGAGTGGGTATGAATTCAGTTTTATTCACTACTAGTTTTGTGACCTTATTAAGTTAATCTCTGAATTTATAAAACAGGAAATGATTATGAGGATTAAATTAAATGAGATGATACGTGGAAACCAATCTTAGCACTTCATTATCACTAATGAGGAAACTGCACTCACTTCTTGCTTTGTTCAGTTTTTATAACAGAAGAAAAGTGACAATTTAGATCATTCTTTTTGGACCTTTATAAAATAGCCTAATGCTACTATCTGAGGCCAAGCTGAGAAATATAAACTGAAAAATTCCCAGAAATCTTAGATGAGTCAGCAAAACTTAATGCCTCAAAATAAAAGGCTTAATATGGACTATTTATGAATACATAATGGTAACTACAATTTCAAAATATGCAATCTGGTATCTAGTATCATCCAAAATTTGGTCTGGAAATCCAAGTATCAAGGAAATGCTAAGATCATACATAACCCCTGAAATACTTCCCCACAATATTTTCAGATCACCTGAATTCAAACTGGAAGGTACAAAATAGCCTGATAATTTGAAATCAGCATCAGGAATTTCTGGTGACAAAACCAAACTCTCTCTCACAATCATCAAACCAGTAGCAGATGGTACATGATCATTTCTCAGTGAGAAACCATAATTCTAACAAAGTACAGATAACTCAGATCTTTATCAAGGCTGTTCATCACCTTTCAATGAACAAACTAACTCTTGGTTCTCCTCCAAACACCCTAAACTCTGCATTATCAATAACCAAACTCAAAGCAAGATGCCTGTTTCTAGTGACCTGTCCTCTCCTGCTTCATTAACCGCAGGTAAATTACATAGAGAAGAGAAATAAATATTACAGGAATGCTTTATCAATGAAATGAACTATAAATAACCAAATTATTAAAAGAGCAGCTTGTACTCCTTAGCAGAGGGACATGCCAGAGAAAAATCCACCTTCTAAAAGAACCCAGTCATCCTGGATGAATTAGAAAAATGCCACTCCAGTCCACCTAACCTATACTCTCTAACTGGACTTACTCTTCTGCTTTAATTCAAACCCAAACCACATCTATTTTATGTGTCTGCCCCTCTTGGCTATATTTTCCGTCCCGTTTCCCGCCCCCGCCCCCAATTCCAAGAATGCCTTCCTCTTTCTTATTTTCAAATCCCACTTTGCCCCCCAAATCCTAAGGATCTCGGACACCCACGCAGATGACCTTACGCATTTCCGATGAATTTCCAGTTCATTGTACTTCTCATACCAAATGATCGATTCTTTCATTCCTTTCGACCTCTCGTTGTTTCTTAAAACCCAGTACCCCACACACGCTCACATCAGAGTCCCCCCTCACTCCATTGTTTCCCCGGCCTAAGCCTCTGGAAACCCCTCAACTCGGAACCGTGTGCTTTGGCCCGCCCCACTGACCCCAGAAACCTTTCACCATCTGGGCACTTCAGGTCTCAAAGGGTTCACGTCCCCTCCTCTCGGTACCCCAACCCCCAACAACTGCTCCCTCCCCGTGTGCCTTCCCTCAAGCCCGCTCTCTGCACCTCAGTGCCCCGCTTCATCCCTCCTCCACCCCTCCACCAGCACCCTGAGCCTCACCTATCCCGGGCCCCCACAGTCGCCGCGTTCCCCAGTTCCGGCTCTGCGTCCCGGACGCTCTGGGGTCTGAGAAGAGGAAAGGAGCTCCGCCGCCGCCGCCTCCTCCTCTTCTAGAGCTGCAGCCGTCGCGCTCCTCCCCCAGCTCTCCCGGAGCCGGACGCCGCCCCGCCCCCACCGCCCCTTTCTCTGCTTCCCTCCTCGGCCGGGCGGCGGGCTGGGAATCGCAGCCGCGGCTGGGGGCCGGAGTGCCAGCCGATCCACAGCGACCTCGCCGGGGCTCGAGCTCTTCGCCCCGCCCCACAGTCCGCTCGGGCGCGTGCGCGCCGGCTAGCCAGCGCATAGGGCGCGTGCTCGCGCCAGCGCGAACCCGGCACGCCGAGCTCGAGGCCGTTGCAGCCAACCGGCCCGCGAGTGAGGCCCGGGCGCAAAGCGGCCCCGCGAGCCGAAGACCCGCGCAAGGAATGGCACGAGGCGAGAGGTGGCCTCCTGTCCGTCGGGTTACAGCCCTTCCCGCTATCGGGTCCCTCGCGCCTCACACCGCCCTGTGGATCGCGCGCCCGAGTTGAGGAAGCTCGGGCGTCGCCGAGAATCGGGAAGAACGATGCAGGGAAGGGATTGGAAGAGTGGGTTGTGGAACAAACTAGATGGGAGTCGGGAGGGGTGTGGGACACGAGCTCGGAGCCGCGCGCAGAATGGCTAGTCCCAGAATGAGCTGGGCGGCGTGGGGTGGCGGGGGGACAGCGCGCGCTGGGAGTAGAGGGCCCGAGCTGGAACTGCCGGAAAGAGCCGAAACTCCCCCGGAGGTTGCCGAAGGCGGCCGCCTCGAGGGGAACCGCTCGAGGGGCTTTTCTCTGGATCCCGGCCGGGACTCTGGTCTCCCAGACGGCTCTGTTTTTGGCGCTACGATTTCTCCCCGACGACTTAATACCACTTTCCATTTCGCCTCCTTCCCGACCCAAGTTTTATTCCAGAAGGCTATTTCAGAGCCACCAGCTGTGGGAAACGCCCGGACGTCCGGACTTTTTTGTCGCTCAGCCTCCTGGGAATCCGTAGAGGCCGCTGCGGGGTGGTGGCGGGAGGATGGGTCTCCATGGCCTGGTGCAAGGTAGCTTCGGGAGCAAGTTCGCTGCCATGTTCACCAGATACACCAAGTCCATTTCTGTGTCGGTTTTCTGGTCTACTCAGTCCTTTGCATCCCTCTACACGGCTGTGGTCAGTCACATTGCCCGTCGAATCTTTCTGCTAAACACTCTTATTCGTGGTTAGATTCCCAAGCACCCCAGGGCCAGAACCATCTCTTAATATTTGTGCACCTTTCTAGCCAGTTTCCTTTATGTGTGAAGCACTCACCCCACTGCCAACTGGTCAGGAGTGGCTACAGGTTGGGCATTGAAAAGGTTAATCAGAGGCTGTCCCCATGTTCTCTTTTGAGGACAAAGTATAAGGGGCTCTGGGCAGGCACCAACCACAAGCCAGAGAGTGGATATGGAAGTGGATAGACACCATAGGCATAATGTAATTTTGGTCCCCACAGGTTTGTTGTTGGAGTGGCAGTACAGGTAGATCTCTACAAGTAGATCTGGTCCTTTGGTTTTTAACTTTGGATGGAGTGGAAGGGCCAAAAATCCTCTAGAGCCCACTGACCCTTGATTAATACTGTCTAAGCTAATCCAACCACATCATTTACAGATCTAAAGAAACAGAAGATTAGGTCATCCAACTAGTTAGGGCACTCACAATGTGTTGCTTACTATTGAATCTTCTTTCAAAGATTCAAATAGAAGCAGGCCATCCAAATATCTGCTCTCTCTTCACTGATCACCCAATGAGTGGGAGACATTGTTCTAGGGGTGGGCCACTTACACAGAATAAAACTAGATCACTATCCTCAAGTAGAGTATCCAGTTGTAATAAAGGATGAAAGCTATTAAATAACTATAACAGGATGATAAGTGCTAAAACAGAAAATTGCAAAGTAGGAACAAAGAAGAATGTGTGAGTAATTCTTCCACAGTTCTGCCTTCCCATACAGTGCAGGAATGGGATGATACCACCCTGGTTAATAGGAAACTTCATACTAAAGAATGAGACCTAAACCAATAGGATCCAAGATCTTATTCTATGACTGATTTCACCAACCAAAAGTCATTTGGGTAACACCTTTGTTACAGGGCCTGATGCTGCTGCAAAACTAATATAATTTCTTCCTTGGGAGAAAAATTAAATCCTCACTCTTGGAAACCTTAGTCTGTTAGGAGAGACATGATGCCTTTCCTAAAAGAGCCTGTGGTCTAATGGGAGAGAGTTTTTATATGTGGATATCCCACTTAAAGAGAAGGGAGATGGATACAGGAGCATGCCTAGGCCAGATCTATGAGTTGTCAAAACATCACTGGAAACTGAATGAGATGGAATCATATCTCCTCTAAGCGAGAGTTCTGAGTGTGGTTGAAAGGAATAGTTTGCCAAGTCCCTGGGATGACAGTAGGTGTAGGCTCTTCACAAGGTTTAACTCAAAAACTAATGGCTCTTCCAGAAGGGTGGGTCACGTAAAGCATTGTTTTACTAAGTGGAATTTTCAAGAGGGCTACTGCAACTCATGACCCATCTTTTTCCATATAGCATTCAACCTCTAAAAGGATATTGAACAAATGCTTCAAAAATACCTTTTACCTGGGCTATAAAGATTAATTTTCTCATTGTTCTTTATACTACATATACAGTTTTCACTTTATATGGTACACAATTAAGTGATCATTGCCTGCTTTAAAACAGTGGCAAATTGTTTAAAATCTACTAATTATATTGGAAGAAAGGAAATGCTGTAATAAATTCAAAATATAATACTGTAACCTACACTGAAGAAAACACAAAAACAACCAAATTTTTGAAATGATTAGAATAAAACTGCTAAGGATTACAACAGAAGACTATTTAGAAAAAACATCCATATATCTCAGTTCAGCCTTAAGGGAAATGATTTATCTCAGGTTACCTAATGACTGAGGCAAATTAGAACTAAAGATAAACCATGATGCAATCGTCACCTTGGCAGATATATGCTGCAAAAATTAACATGACCTAATTTAATATATTTTCCAATAGACCCTTGTGATCAGAAATTTTAGCATGTTTTTCTTTGAGTCGATATTCTATATCCAAAGTGACTGATTGTCAGATTCCATGTTTTTATTAGGGGGGGAAAAATGAGGTTAAAGTCTCTGATGACTAAAGCTGATGCCACAAACCACAAAACAAGCATGAAGACCAGCAGAGAATATCTCGTCAGGGTATACTTTTCCCTTTGCTTGGACTACCTCTGATACCTAAGAATATTCATGTTGGTAGTCCACACTGTGTGTCTTAGAAATGTAGTTTTGTGGATGCTGAATAGATGTTATCTAAAAAAACTATTCCAGGTCCAAATGAATTTGGGAAAGTCTTGGTAAAATAAAAATAAATTGGTTTATTGTAAAGCAAATATACACCAATAAAAATTAATTTTGAAAAATTCAAAATAAATTGGTTTCCTTCCAGGAGCATTTAATATGGTAATGTGTTTTTTTAATATTGAAAGGAATGCAGTATATAGTATGCAGCTTTCCCCCAAGAAAACTTTTTTTACCCAGGAAACTTCTGTGTAGGATTAATGTTTCTTTGAACATCCACTCTATAAGATTCTACTAGAAGGATTTGATTAAGTTGGAATTTCCTGTTTTATAGATAACAAAACTGATGTTCAAAGACATGGGTAACATACCCAAATTCAATTGTGTATCAGATGTTAGAGCCTTAAATTATCAAAGGTTGAATCCTTATATCACAAAATTAGTGACAATTCCAGAACCTCAAATTTGAGTTTTGAACCTCATTTCAAAACTCAGATTTGAAACACTCAGTTGCAGGTTCATTAAAAACTTGAAATTGATCCCTAGTGAATTTGTTTCTATATGTGAAAAATATAAATAATACTGCTTTACTGTAAGTTCATTCATGGAATTTTAGCATGTTCTTTCATCTATACAGTCTGTCACCATTTTTTAAAAAGTGATAACGCCACCCTCTATAAAATGTTTTAGGGTTTGTAAAGTGCCCTCAGCACATCTCATTTGAATGTCTCAACATCCCTGTGAGGCAAGCATCACTGTCCTCATTTAACAAACAAGGACATCAAGCCTCAATTGTTAAATAGCAGGTGTTCGTTTATTTGTAGGAGAGGAAGGTCTATTGCAAAGCCAAGCAAAAAGAATGGGTGGCTCATGCTCAAGAAACCCAAACTCCCTTAAACAGAAATTTAGCATATTTAGTAAATGTCCTGTTACTTGCATTGAGAGAAGATAGTCCTTCTGTCCTTCAAGCTATGCTTCTGCAGTGCATGAACCAAGGACTTCCAGATGTACAAGCTGTGTTTAGAAGAGGCAGAGGAATCAGAGATCAAATTGCCAACATTTGTTGGGTCATAGAGAACACAAGGGAATTCCAGAAAAACATATACATCTATATTGATTACACTAAAGCCTTTGACTATGTGGATCACAACCAACTGTGGAAAATTCTTAAAGAGATGAGAATACCAGACCACATTACCTGTCTCCTGAGAAACCTGTATGAGGGTCAAGAAGCAACAGAACTGGACATGGAACAATGGATTGGTTGAAAGTTTTTGGGAAAGGAGTACAACAAGACTGTATATTGTCACCCTGCTTATTTAACTTATATACAGAGTACATCATGCAAAATGCTAGGCTGGATAAATCACAAGCTGGAATCAAGATTTCCAGGAGAAATATCAACAACCTTAGATATGCATATGATACCACTTTAATGGCAGAAAATGAAGAGAAACTAAAGAGCCTTTTGATAAGTGTGAATGAGAAGAGTGAAGCCAGTTTTAAGCTGGCTTAAAACTCAACATTCAAAAAACTAAGATCATGACATTTAGTCCCATCACTTCAAGGCAAATAGATGGGCAAAAAGTGAAATAAGTGACTGATTTTAATTTCTTGGGTTCCAAAATCACTGCAGATGGTGACCACAGCCACGAAATTACAAGATGCTTGCTCCTTGGAAGGAATGCTATGACGAACCTAGACAGTGTATTAAAAAGCAGAGACATCGCTTTGCCAACAAAGTCCCATATAGTCAAAGCTATGATTTTT